GCATTCTAGTCTTATTCTTCTTTTCAACCTTGTACCATATAATTTTATATTTTCTTTAGGATTCTATATGTATTCTTTTTAAAAAATTCTTTCTTGATTACCCTGAAGATATCCCTTCAGCCTAATAATTTCTTAAAACTCTGGGTTTTTTTAATTTCTTAAAACTCGTATGCCATCTCTGCAGTTTAAAGATTTTTTTGAAAGTTTACTTATGTTATAGGTGATAGGGGCCCAGAGAGAAAGATGCAGAGGCAAGCAACCCCATTGTCACTTGGGAAGGTCTCCAAATTTGAATCTGCAACCTTCTCGTGTGGATCTGCCTGTCGGAGCACTGCCTTTCTCCACTATTCTATCATGCAGCTCCAACATGTTTCTGCTGTTGTTTTGTATATGGGAAGAAGAGGGGAAGAAGAGTGAATGGGGGTAATGAAGTGGAAGATGAACTGAGTCTTCACATCAGCCAAGGTCCTAAATCTAAAACAAGCACTGGCCCTGAGACCTGAAACCTCCACCCACCTTAATTCCAGTTTCAGCCTGTTCATAGAAAGCCACATCTACACATGCATCAGGAAATAGACTGGGTTGTAAATTGCTACAATCAATGGTGAGGAAAAACTAGATTACCCAAAACAAATGACACTTCTTTACCATAATTCAGTTTGTCAATTTTACTAGCTAATAAAGCTCTATTACAGTTGATATGTGGGGGAGTAATCAGCCTCATCTATATAAAAGAATCAATCAACCTAAAAGCCACCATTTATATCAGCTTCGGAGCACTTGCCTACTCATAAAGAGCACTCCCCCAAGTGTTGATTTCATCTGAAATCCTAAAACAGATAGATCAGCAAGATTCTTGACATGATAACCACAATGTCATTTGAGAGATGAGGCTTTTGGGAGCATAGAGGAGTTATATTCGCAGCTCTAGAGCACAGCTTGCCTGATTTCACAATGTCTTTCCAGACTCTTCCTAGTTACACCCATACCAATCGCTCTCTGAACTCCAGGGAATAAACTAATTCAGTTAAGCCAGTTGTTCTCGTCTCTGGCATTAACCAATTCCCATACCATGCTAATGTGATCTATCTCATTCAACACACTCCTATGCCATTCATAGAGTCACAGCCCACGTCATCCTGAAAGCTATTTCAAGTAAAGGTCTTGTCAAAGTGTTTGCACAGACAAATAAGTTATTACTTAGTCTTATATCTCATAATAAAGAAACTATAAAAACTCCTTCTGTAGAAATATATACTGTATAACTGAAATGTGCAGGGTTATCTGCAGCAGTTTCACAATGTAAATGGAATGCTCCTCAGACAGCTATAGTCAATGTGAATAGTTCTTTTAAGGTTCTAGAGTTGTTTCTGCCAACATTTTGCATCTTGCTTCCTTACTCTGGGCCCCTCAGGAATTAAGTCCAGTTGTCCTTTTTTTATCTTTATCTCTGACACAATTACTAGATCCAGCAGGCACTATCAGGCATAAAAATTACATATTACATATACTAATATCTTCTGAATTCAGGACACATGATTCAGAAGAGCAAACGAGATTACAACTTCTCAGGGAAAATCAGCGACAAATTCAAACTCATAGGCTGTGTGTGTGGTTGACTTGTGTACAGCTGGTGGTGCAAACTGAGACAACACTTCATATCAGAGTCATCTTTAGAGAGCAGATAGCATTCCTGAGGGGCTAATTGCTGTACAATTACATTGTATGGCCCTAGACTAAAATAGTGTTGACAATAAGAAGTGTCCTGGGCAGGTTCTGTGGCCTGGTGGTTAAGACAGCCAGATCCCACATGGCCCATCTGATGGTTGGAGTTCCAAATCAGTGCAGGGAGTGTTTCCATGTGTACTCCAAAACTCTGCAAAATCGAAAGATGGGAGAGAAGGGATTGCAGAATCATCATTCTTTCTGGGGATGGGGTGCTTTCTCTTGTCCTCTGTCTGTCTCACTCTGGGAAGCATACATGCCGTACAGCCCACCCCTACTTAAAAAATTTAAAAAAGAAAAAAAATGACAAGTCTTGATGAGCCCTTTCACTGGAATAGTTAGTTACCTTCCTGAAGGTGGAAAGTCTGTCTTGTGGAGCAAAAGACACTTCATAAAGTGGCACAAGAATAGCCAGTTATTGAAAGGATCATTACAGATTATTAACAATGGTCTTCATTATTCTGACAATTATCAATCCATTTATCCCTTGGAATAAGGTGACATAAAAGGGACCAGCAGGGGACCAGCAGTTAGCGTAATGGTTATGTCACTGGACTCCCACATAATCGACTGCGGTTGGCGTCCCGGACCCGGTGGCTTAAAACTCACACCAGGCATGTGTGCATGTGTGCCTAAGATCCCGAGAGGAGAATGGAGGAGAAGGGATTGCAGTGTGGCCATCCACCCTGGGGGGTGATTTCTCGCTTTCTGTCTCTCTGTCTCTCTCTCTGTCTGGTGAGTGCACGTGCCCTATA